TCGGGTTTCGCCTTCAGGTTGATGTTGACGATCTTGTGCCTGCATCATGCATGCAACAGATCTGTCAGCAACGCCAGTGTCAGATTAAGGAAGGTTTTTTCACATGTCGTCGATCGATCAAGTCAAATTTACTTGATCCATCATTACACACACTGCAACACGTACGGGATCTTTTTCTTATGCAGAACCAGCAAGACCCGTCTGGAATAGGGGCAGAATCGCATACTGTACACCGTCAGCGTGGATGCATCCAGCTGCGGCTGCGGAGAACCTGCAGAAACATACGACGGATTATCGCACACAAATGACACAATTAATAACCCGTTCAGGATAATACGAAATAATTATGAATACTGCTATTCGGAAATGCCACTGACGAATCAAAGTGGAACCAGCGACAAACAGTTCAAAACTGCCCAGTCAACCCGAAGCTGCCTTCTATGTATGCTTCAGCGAAGCAGCTCTCAAAACAGCAAATGACGCAGACTATTGGAAATTTGGAAGATGTACCAATCGTAAGATGTTTCGATTCTCCGCTTGGTAGAGCATGTTTCCCAAATTCTATACAGAGTGATCCGAAGAGGAACTGCAATAGTTATGCAAGGAAAAGACTAAACTGAAAACTGAAGAAGGTTTCGAAAAGCACAGTTGAAAAATCAAGAAAAAAAAATTCACCATCAGGCCTGCTGCCTGCATCCAACAATAGAGCAAGGCTTTGCGGCCGGGTAGCGAGGCGAAGATACGGTGCATACCTCGTCTCGCTAACATACAAACCGGAAATGCGTGAAGCACGGCGAGAAAACATTTCTTTACCTGGCCACCAGCCCTGCCGTGAATACAGTCGATCGATGACAGAAATTTCGAGTTGTTTTTCCATTTTGCTGCTGAAATTTCGCTAGTCATTCTGTGCTTCTCACTGTTTATCAGTTTATGCCGTTTAGATTTTTCCGACCCATTCTTCATCCTCGTTATTTCTCTACACTCCTCTCTGAAAATGCCTGCTGCTAACGGTGAAAAGAAGCATTTCGGGAAGGTAACGAGGCGACGCGCATTTAAAACACCGGAGATCCTTCACGGCTTCTTGGTGTTGACATGACTGGTCGTTGTAGGTTCATCGGAACCCAAACTGGACGAAAACCAACTGCGTCTTTTCAGCATGCGATTCTGCCCGTACGCCGAGCGGGCTCGCCTGACGCTGAACATCAAGAAAATCCCGTAAGTGTGCGCTCCCCGTTTTCCATAGTGTCTTTTTTATCGTACCTTGTCTAGCTCGCCCATTCACTGTCGAATGTCAATCATCTTTAACCTTGAAATTGCGGGGTCAAGGTCAACCTTTGTTTTCATCTTTTCGCAACGCAGCCTTGTTTTTGAATTTTAACAATCTAAGCTGTATCATCAGGAAACCAGAGACCGAGAATCCAGAATCTTAACCCATATAAGGCCATATTATTAACATTATATTTTAGTTTCTCCAGTATTTTTGGTAAAATTAGGTTTTTATTTTTCTAATGGTAATAAGTAATTTTAAAATTAAAACTGCATGCAGTATACTGTTCTAGCTGTATCAGTGACGCGGATTGGATCTGTTTATAATTTTTCCATTCCGCAGAAACAGTAAAAAAAACGCAGTGAAATTGATTAAAAATTGGAATGATTATGATTGCGATTGAATTATATTGCGCATAATTATCATTCAATACGGAAGTATTCGTATCAGTGTATATGAGTGTATTGGAAAAATAGGTTCATTATTTTTCGAATTAAATCCGATATTTTTATCTTGGACAATTGCATTCAAGTACTGAACGCACTCATTATTTTTCGTTTTTTTTCGTATTATTCGAATGTCATTAGTACTGCTTTATTTTCTAATACTCTGTTGAATGGCAGCAAATTGGTAGAAAATCATCGTTTGTCAAAACTTGAAGGTTGTGTTCATATTATGCGGATTTTCAGGAATGTCGGCGCTTCGAACTGATGTTGTTAACTTGTTGTTGACGTGTTTTGGTCGCTGCAGGTATGAAATTGTAAATATCAACTTGACCGAGAAACCGGAATGGTACATGGCCCATCACAACCCACTGGGCAAGGTGCCGACGCATGAGCCCGGGAAGCCGAAACCGGTCTTTGAGTCGCTGATCGTCGCCGAGTACGTCGATGAGCATTTCCCCAATGAGCCGAAACTGTTGCCGAAAGACGAGTACGAAAAGGCTCGTCAGAAAGTGGCTATCGAAGTCATTACTCAGAAGGTATCATTCTAACGAATGATGAATAAACTTTTCTGTTTTAAAACATTTGCCGTATCGAAAGAAATTCTTTCTTAATGATTATGAGAATAAGAAAATAATCCTGGCTAATATATCACAGTTTTATGAGCATCTCGTGGAATCTGTTGTTTTCTGGTGAACTTCTGACTAAAATTTAAGCGGTTTCTCTGTGCTTTTACATTAGTATAGATTAGTCTGTATGCTATATTCGAAATTGTTTCGTCGGCAACACTTGAATGCGGCATATCATCCTCCTTTCCAAGTTATTTAGTTATTATATCGATTTATTTGAATTGTGTTATAGTTTATCAACAATTTGAACGCCGTTGGCACTAAGGGTGACAAAGAGAAAGTCGAGGAGCTGAAAAGGGCCTGAAAGAAGTGGAGGAATCATTGACTGGTCAATATTTCGCAGGTAAGCGTTGTGAACGTATCTGTGAGCACTGTTCCGTTCGAGTTGCATCCTGTTCTTTCATTTCTATCGTATATTCACAGATTTATTCTGATCTTATTTTTTGCGATTTACCTTTTAATTTTTAGACTTTCAGATTCTTTAATTTTTTAGATAAACAGTTCTGTTGACTTTTCAGTTTTCTTGTACTGTACGTCGGTTTTGATGAGCCAATAACTGAATTGATTTCTGTCCCAAAGATAAATAAATAAATGAATCTATAATATCTGAGTATTAGTTTACATGGATTAATTTCTGTTGGTTGAATTAGATTCTCATGCATGTACACGTTACATTCAACTTATTCGTTCCCAGTTTTTGTCGTTCTATAACTTCGTTGTTATCTGCAGGCGACAAGATGGGTTTCGTGGACGTGATGATTTGGCCGTGGTTCGAACGTATCGCGCCGGTGTGTGAAGTGCGCAGTGTCGATCTGAAGATGGAGCGCGACTATCCTAAACTGCACGCCTGGATGCAGAAGATGCTGAAGGAGCCGGCCATCGCCGACATCGTCTTTCCGTCGGAAATCATGGTGCCGTTCATCAAGAGCGCCTACGTGGATGGCAAAGCCAACTACGATATCGGACTGTAAACGGCACAAATGCATCTCATTATCTCCGCTCTCTGTTTATCGCTGCTTGCCTGTCGTTCATTTTCGAAGGATAATTACGGGAGTTTTCTCATAACTGGTGATGGATCTTGCGGTTGTGCGCTTTGTCTGGCGTCTCACAGTTTTTGTTAACTGTTCGGATTTTTATTGTGTTAGCGCAGATAATCGGTGTGTGCTCTTCTGGCAGTGAGCAGGTATTGGTGTTTAAGCGTTCCGGTTTACCAATTATATGGCTAGCTGAATAGAAAATTCCTCAATTGATTTGTTTCAGTTTCTGCAACTATATGTTTTCTTAGGTCAGTGTTTGAGTAAAACCGCGTTGACAGCGTTGCGTTGGAATTATTTGCGGTAATATTTTTATTTCTTACGGCATGCCGTATTTTCGGTAACAGATTTCAACAAACAGCGGGAACATTTAGCTAACAGAGCCATGACAACGCTGAGAGTCGGAGAAGGTTCTACCTGTACTTACTTTACAGTTAAAAAGACTTAATAGTAAGTATTATGTTTTGCTGTAACAGAATTGTATACATATTCAGTAAGTATCAGTTTTCAAATCATTTGATTCACTTTAACTGAGCACCGGAAGAAGACAAACCGAACAAATATGACTGTATATAACTTTTAGTTTGCTCGTATCGGTGATCAATGATCATACTCGTAAAAAATTTGCTATGCAGTAATTACAATACAAGCACAGCCTAATACATCGCAGGTGGTTTTCTAAATTTAATTGGTGACATTAGTTACAGTACTTAATTAAGTACCTAGAGAATCTACCCGTAGAGATACTCGCCCCAAGTTAACCACTCACATAATGATCTCTTTAATACTCGGGTAGGTTTCGGTACATTATAATTATTATGTCTATACAGTATTCGTACATACTTATACATTATTGTTTATTACAGAATTTCTGCAACGTCACTTATTTATTTCTTACTCAGTCACATATTTATTTAACTTATTTTAACGCGAACCAACGGCAGTTCGTCTTATCTCCTGCCTGACAGTCAATATTTTGATTGATGACTTGAAAGAGCAATTTGTAAAATTGTCATACTCTGTGCAACTTTTCTATAGCCATGCAAAGGAAGCATCACGGATGGATAGTTATGTCCCTGTACTTGTGCTGTGTTATGTTTGGCGGTGCTTACGGAAGCCGTTTCCACCTACAACTTCAATCGCTATCCGCAGCATGATTGGGATTTGGATTCATACAGTCCTTTTATGTACCAGCTGCAGCGGACACGGCGCGGTTTTAATAGGATGCCGTGGCCCGGAATGCCTGCTCATGTCTGAACGTTCAAGCGACATAATTATTTTGTATGTTTAATTGTTTTATTTATGTAACAACTATTTACTTTTGCGACAATCAACTACGTCATATGCGTAGTTAACAGCAGAATACTTACAGGTTAGTAGTCAGATATACTGCTACAGTGATGACGTTATGATTTCCCAAGCGAACGAACAGTGCTGAACTGCATGCTTAAATACCGCGCATGCACCGTATATACGAGTATGTAAATAAACCGAAAGGTCATCCATAAAGATCATCCAATAATTATCACAGTGATAATAATTTATTGTGTATCGTAGAGAAACAAGATCGAGCACACATGGCTGCGAACTGCGATAATTACATGATTAGATATTATTACGTACTACGTAAAAGAATATCAAACAAACAAACTTCGAAGTGGCGCGAGTTCACCGTAAGACTCATGATCAGCCCATCCCAATATTGACTGAATATATGCATTAAACTTTATACGTTGAAAGTAGCAATCCAAATCCGTCCGCCGCGATCCCGTTCGTATTAGTTGATCATCACCGCTGCAAATTAATAATTTATATCGTTATATATATATCACTAAGTCATAGTACACGTATACACTGAATTTACTATACTGACTGGGGATGCACTGAGGAATATAATCTCAACTTACGTGCCGGCCGGCAGTCGTACTCCACAAACAGCGATCGTCCCTGACACCCGGCAATTCCAGGGGATCGCGGGCGTCCAGCGTGCAGTTGTGGTGGATGTAGCGGTCACACTGACTGGTCATCTCCGTATCACAGACAAAAGTATCCATGCAGATGCCCACCGGGGCGGTCGCGGCGTAGCGGGCACTCATAATCAGGACGGTGATGCCGCGGTCCGGTGTCTGCGCCGTGCGGAAATCGGGAAAGGGATGCTGACACGATAAGTGGTTGACGGTGTCCAGGTACGACTGGATATTTTCGGTTATTGGCAGTGCCGGATTGTTCAGTTCCTGTCTAGTCTGTGGACAGACGATGGTGTAGGATGTCCCGTGTGGTATGGTGATCCGGTACAGGGCCCCGAAATTCCGGAAGTAATCCGGATACGGTTTACATCGGTGTCCGACGCTTGCTCACTGTGGCACGGCAGCTGCATTTTCGTACAAACAATACACGTACAGTAACTCAATTGATATAAAATCGCTGGCACTACTGCAGTTCCATCAGCAAAATTAAAATTACGAACCAAAATTCATAATAAAGATTTTAACTGCAGGGTCGCGAAATGGAATATTTCTATATATAATATGTAGTTATAATTATTGACATATGAAGTACGGTAGTGTAAGATACGAATACAGTAACATAATTTTACTATGTAAGTCATGTATGTGTCATGAATTTTAGAAGATATATGTAGGTGGTGCGTCAGTCTGCTTAAATGCAAATAATACTAATTCAAAAACTTAAGTTTAGAAAAGATACAATAAAATAGACCTACATGGTAAAAATTAATGGAGTAGCTGAATATCGTTACAAAATACATAAGTACTTACGTGTACATACGGAACTTACCGCCAAAAAAACAAAAGCAGAGACAAATGTATAGTAAATTTCCGACATTTTTTCAGCAAAACATTGACAAATAAGGCTAACCATAAAATCCAAACCGCAGTTTTGTTGACAAGAATGAACCACAGAGGAGAAACCTTTCTCAGCAGATTCAACTCAGAAGTTTCGGTACTTTGAAGTGTTTGCGAAATTTGTATACTATACAGCCTGTAAATACGCTTACCAAATCTTTATCTTTCATAAATCATTACTGATTCAATCGAATTTTATCAGTTCAATCAAGACTGAATTATAAAAAATTCATCACTCAGGGTTGACTGTCAGCCAGATTACGAATTCAACAATACTCTTTGAACATCTCTAAACAGAGCACAAAAACGCACAAGCCCATGAGAATCTGTAAGTTAAATTAAAATTCTATCATAAAACGAAAAACTGGTAAGAAGATTCAAACAACAGATTCATACACCGGGTTGCCCGGACAGAGTGGAGACAGTTTTAATCATGAGAGAAAAACACCGCTATACAACGCGGAATGATCAAATTCTATCTGTGCAGTTTGGCTTTCTTTAATTCTGCCGTTAATAACGCAATGTGGTCCTCGAGGAAATCGCACTTTTCATCCTTCCGTGCTAATTCACGCTGGAGATTCACAATCTTTTCGATTAACAAGGCTTTGTCGATATCCGCACTGGCTTGTGGCGAGGGCGCCTGCAAAAAGGTAAGCAACGAATTAAAACCCATTAAGAATTTACATCACATTACTGGGAAAACGACATTACTGCTGCTGGCACAACTAGTCCACAATTCGCTAAAAAAAATTAAATTTTATTTTTACGGGAAGCATCAAAAAAGGCTTCTGCCTCACCCATAAGCCAGAAACATTTTAACAGTTAACGGTAAGCTTAAGCAAACGAGAATAGTAATAGTGTTATCCATGAGCCCACTTGCAAGATAGTAAAATATTAAAAATATAAGCATCTTCGAATTCCTATTAAAATCCATGATACCTTTTAACGACACTAGGAACAAACGCACTCGTTAAAAAATTGCCTGCACTGCACGGCTTTCGTTCAAAATGGTTTCTACACGAGTGCGGCTACACGCATTACTCCATGCAACATTTTGGCACTTTGTTCATTGCCACTACACTACGAAGCTTCCGATATTTTATGGAATCCATTTTGGACCATTTTTTTCTACAAAAACTCTACAGAATTTTATACCATTATTTCTTTTTGAAAAATTAACAGAATGCAGCACAAATACAGGTGTGCTTACCGCTGAATCTTCACTGTGGGAGAATGTATTATGATTGGTCACACAGTGCAGCAGCACCGGCGAGGCATCCAGCGACGACGACGAACTGGCCCGCGACTTAAGACTGATCTGTTCAACATTCTCCGGATCACCCTTCCCATTCCCGTTCTCCGATCCATTACAATGCGCCTTGGCCGCCGCCGCCAGCTGCCGTTTCAGATCCTTCAAAGTGGCATGATACGTCCTGGAAAGGAGTCGCTTCTCATTCTGCGCGTTCTCATAATCCAGCCGTAGGCGCTGCATCTCCGCGTCGCGCTCTTCCAGCTGGCGCTGTAGAGTCTCGGCGTCGCTGACGCGGGAGGACCGTTCCGCTTCCAGTTGGGTGTTCAGGAGGTCATGGTCGCTGGACACGCGCTCCGATCGCGACAGGAGAGTGGCGTGATCGCTTTGCAGCGCGGCATAAGAAACTTGTAAGGAATCCAACTAATAAAGTTATAAATAAAAGTTTACCAAAATCTGGACTCACGACAGTCAAGTCTACGAAAATGATATGACCAGGCACAATAAGAACCTTCTTCGTAGACTATTTTCAGATTTATTAAACCATAAATTTAACAAACTACGCCAAACTGTTCAAGCATCACTATCCTTTTATCTGAACAAATCAATGCACAAATCAATCTTATTTAAAAAAACTGGACAGTGACATTTACCAAAACGGAATACAAGACGGAGATAAATAAGAATGTAAAGAACGATTATACGCTGTTTATCAACTTTACCAAACAGGCGACTACGGATACCTGTAACACGAGTACAAAAAATAAAAATAGAATTCCCAATAACAGCAAAACTTTCACGACATGCTGAGTGGAGTGTTGGTAAAAAAATTAGGTTTGCATACAATGAGCAAAAAAATTTCAGCTTAAACTCTCGCAAATTCAAATTATTACGTTTCTAATAATAGTATATGTAGAGCCCAAGTCTGCACTTTGATGACAAGGAAACGATGACTCCAACCATTTCACTACGTTATCACAATTTCTATACCGCCAACGAAATCGAAAGAACTGCATCGGCAGTGGCACTTACCTCGGAAGAAAAAGCGGACACTTTGATTTTGAGATCAACGTTGTTGGCGGTGAGTTTCTCGATCAAGTCCATGGAATCCTGATACTGGCTCTGATATTTTCGCATATCCGTTTCGGTTTCTTTGAGCAAATCACGTAATCGATCCAGGTCGGCCTGCAGCTCCAGAATCTGCCGTTTATGACTGCCATGGAAAAACATACACTTATCATTAGCCATCCATTTATGACCGCTTTAACCGCAATTTTTCATCCAAATACTTGAATATTAAAAATTAAAAGCCAGTTAAATACAAAACTTTAGCATCAATTCTCGCACCGGATCGAACGATCCATTTCCACACAGCAGCATGCTGTTCAAGGTTTAGAAAAATGTTCGAAAGTGTAAAAGAAATCGAAGGCTAATCACCTGTTCCAAAGATCTGCCACGTACTTCACCGTATAGTCGTCCGTAACCATTTAAGTAAAATTTATATGGTTAAGGCTGTTGATGTATTCTTTAAAAAATATGGATGTATTCTGTTGATGTATTCTTTAAATTCTGTGGATGTCAGCTCAATTTGCACTTACTCGGCAAAATCTCTACCGCAAAACATTGCAACACTGAACACATAAGACAAACGCACAGACAACAAGAGCTGTCGCAACAAAATCGTAGGGAGCATAAACAAGGCACCACAGAAACGCAATCATAAGGAAAACAATAATAACATTATAAAAAATAAGAAAACTAACGAAGACAGGAAAACATACTCTCAACTAACAATAATGCAACACAACTCACACACGAATATCTAACAGTTAGCTGCTGAAATTCAAGGGCCGTTTTAAATGACTCATTTAAACTTTTCTACATAAAATCTGAAGAAATTATTTATCTTATTTTACTTCACACCAAACATTTACAAAATGCCATTACAACAGACAGAAAAAATTGAAAACTACATAAACTAATAAATGGTCCCCAATTAAAATTGTTAAACGTTCTAAAGATCTCACATTTAGAAGTTTCTTAAATAGATTCAAAAAGTGTTTTGAATACGGACAACCAACATTAATTTTGATAAAATACTGCATTAGTGATACAGTGATTCCTGAGCAACTGTTTCCTGCTGTAAAATCAGCTGATGCCCCAGATTGTGTTAACCGTTAATTTCCGGAAATGCGACACCTGTTTTTCTCCGTCTACACTTACTTGTCAACTTGGTTCTCCAGTTCTTTTTTCGCATGTTTCTGCTCGTGGAAATTAGCCAGCTCCTTCTTATGGGCCAGCAAGGCATCTTTGTACTTGCGCAGTTCGCGGATATATTCACCCTTCTCACTCTCCAAACATATCACCTGGTATCACAAAACACAAATGTGGAAATATTCTGCAGTGCACAACGAAATAGTCTAGCTGCAAAAGTCCAGATGGTGAGTGTGTCAGCGCAGCGAAGTTCTGACTTTTGCACAACCAACCTTGGCACGAAGCGTCTCTGTCTCCCGCAGCAGATCATGATTTCTACGCTTAACACTATCCAGCTCCTTCTCTACATTCCGACTCTCGTCATCGTTGCTCATGATCACATGGAGAGTGATGGACGGACATGGGAGATCATGCAGACATCATCAACAAATTGAACAACTCAATCAAACGGATAAATCAGTGCATATTCCGATATTCGTACACATACTGATCAAAATTCAGAAACAGAGCATCTTCTGCCACAGCTGTGCGCCCAGCTCTGAAAACGAAGTATAATTCTTATGAACGTGTTGGAGATTATATTCAGTTTGAGGGAAAACAAACGGAAAATGGAAACACTCTTGAATTTTCTATCGCTAAGAAAAAGAGAAACTAAGGAAGATAGGAAACTTTTAACTTTTTGTGACGGAAATCCGTGACAACATTACAACGTCATAGCCATAGGTTAATGATCACAGCGCTGAACAGGAAGCGAAGAAACTGCGCCACGTTTTAATTTCAACATTCGCAACATAGACCTGACTTCCGGCGCCACATTTCTACCAGTCACAACAGCGGCGCAACGAGTTAAACCTATATTCCCGCTCAAATCGTGCTGGAAACAAATATTTTTATGCTAATTTTTGCTTTTTGCAAATGCGTAAGCCGCTTACGGTAAGCGGTAAGTAAGTACTTGTTTTATTTTCATCCTTTTGTCAAGTGCACAATGTACTTGACTTACTGTATCTCTATGGCTCTACATGTAAGTACAGCTTCGCTTAATTTTGTTGTTGCGAAGCAAACCCAAAATTTGTGTTAGGTACGGTATTGACTTCGAGACGGAAGAGGACTACTTTCCGATTAATTATGTACTATGTATTTTTATTTATTATTATTACGTTGAATGTTCAGTGTTCTGGAACGAAAGAGAACATTCAAATTAACTAGTATAATTGTTACATAGAATATTTTAATTATTTCAAAGAATTCTAAATAATATTAGGGCATTTTACTTATTATTTACTTGCATTACGTTGTTAGAGTATCTACGTGTACTACATGAATTATGTACAATTTGTTGAATACAAACATTCATCAAAAACTGGTGACCAAATGACCACCGGATGGGGCCAGTTACTATTAATAGCTTAACAACGTATATAGTATAAGGTACGTCTGATCACAGTCAGTGCACCAATC